GCTTGATTGAAATGTATGAACTTATCAATGCTGACACCATTTTCCCCTTCTAAATCAGAGATGCTGTTACATTTGTAAATCGTGAGGCTAGAAAGATACTTGTCTTGTGACAAGCTCAAAATCACACATATAATTTCCACTAATAGACACTCTGTTCTCAGAGGTTTGAGTTGACTGATGGGAGCACGAAACCTTCTCCGACTGCAGTGCTGAGCGTTGAGTCTGTGATTGGAGATCACGCAGGACAGGCAGCTATCACCCTCAACATAGCCAACCAGAACATCACCTTTCAGGTCAGGACGCAGCCATGGTGGTCAATTTGCTTCGTGCTTTATTTGGAAATGCAGGTTAGATGAACCGTTTCTTCCCTCGAAAGGAAATGCTGTGGTTTCTCCACAGGTTCCTTCAGGGACGCGGCCAAGTCGCCCACCCAACAGCAGTCCCGCGTTCATCGGCACCCCCACCCACGACCGCTTGCTGGCCGAGATGATGCAGTCCCACCTCGTCAAAGACATTTGTCTGATCGGAGCCAAGGTACACAGGCAACTTCCTGTGGCCACCCTCATTGAGCAAGTGCACTTTGAACTAGAAAGTTGATGTGTTTCAAACAAGAACAATAGCTCACTTTTCATACTGCCTGTTAAGGTAATGCAGGAAGATCATCGGGGTCTTCTGTGTGTGCGTCATGGCTTGTGTTCTTATTTAAGTGAGATTAGATCAGATGAACAATGTGCATCATATGCTTGTTTGGTAATATTGCCTTGTGGTTTGGCTAATGCTGTTTCTTGTTGTTTTTCCAGGGTTGTGGCAAATCCGTGATTGCAAGGGAATTTGCTGACATGCTGGGCTACAGCATTGAACCAATTATGCTTTATCAGGTAATGTCAAAACATAAGAAAATAATAAAAACTAATCAGTCCCAAGAAGACAAATTGGTAACATTTTAAAGGAAGGATCAAAACTAGTTATGCTGTATGCCACAGATGCTTTCGATTTCAACAGAAAATGGTTGTCTCTCAGCTATTGTCAATTTGGTATTTGTTAAACATTTTTTTACAACTCAGATCATTCAAATTCAAACAAATTCACCACCAAAATGTGAAATAATTGTTTTCTTCAAAAATGGCACTTTTTATTGTAGATTTATCTAAAAATGTTATGTTTTCATGTGACTCAAATCATACGAATTTATACGAATGCACTCTTTTCTTCTAAAAATTCTCTTCTTTTTCATTTCTAAAAATCAGATGTTTTGATATGACTCAAGTTATCCAAATTCATACGATTTCACCACCAAAATGTAAAATAATTGTTTTCCTTCTAAAATTGCGCTTTTCAAATTGTACAAATTAATACAAATTCATCAACCAATTCCCAAAAATGTATGTTTGTTTTTACTTACTTTTTGTCCTAAAAAGCAGATGTTTCATATGACTCAAATCATCCAAATTCATACGAATTTAAGACCATTATTGGCAAAATGTGAAAATCCTTTTTTCTTCTAAAAATATCTTCTTTTTTTCTAAAGATCTTATGTTTTTGTGTGACTTTCTATATGAACTCATACATATTGACCACTAAAAATTCACCACACATTTCTTCTAAAAATGATCTTTTTATTTTATTTGTTTCTTAAAAATCATGTTTTCATATGTTTTAAACCATACAATTATTTCATACAATTTCACAATCAATTTGCCAAAGTTGTTTAGCTTATAGTTACGTTTCAAGTTATGTTTTCTTATAAGATTGAGTTAGAAACCAACTGTGAAATTTATTTAATTTCTTTGCTTTTTTTTCTTTTTTTTTTTTTTTTTGCGCATTTAAATTGCGAGACGCAGGGCAGTGGTATCAAAAATGGTCTAGAGATGCATTTTCAAAGTCGTCCATCTAGCACATGTCTACATAGAGAAATACATTGCATTGCAGCTTTTCAATTTTACCTTTAACCCAGAATATTCTTTTGTAAAATGCAAAATGCTCCTAGTTGTGTCTTCCTTGAACCCCTTTCTTTTGCTCTTTTCTGTTTGGTTCTCTGAATGTACCTTCACATCACATGAGCATGGTTTTGTGTTTGCTCAGTTGTGTGCAGCTGTGGACAGTGAGGTTTTCAGATGAGTGTTTAGGTTTTTGGGGGAAAGCTCAGTGTTGTCCTGGGCATCAGCACACAGAGCCAGAGGTCATGCACCACAGGGGCCACATATCTCCTTGAGTTTCCATCAGCAATCATTAGTGTTTTTAATATTTGTGATTCTTGTAAGACCACACAAAATATTTTTGA